TACGCATGTACAAATTAGGACATATTCCACCGACAGAAAATGTGAAAAAGATGGGATTTTAGTGAAGCAATCAGATTTAAAAATGAGATGACGTTCGCAAAAAACTAACCCCCCACCCGCCCCCCAAGGTTTTCGGCGGATAACCGAGCATCAGGCTCCTCCGCGCTGACCGGTCAGTGTCCACCGGCTCTGCGCTCAGTCCCGGCGCACGATCAGGAGAGCGGACGCTGGAAACGAGACCATTGGAAAGAATTGGGAATACTTAAGGCTGGGAAAGAGAACACTAGGGGATATCTGAATATCTGAAAGGCTGGGCTATCGGTGAGGAACTGTTTCTTCTGTGTGGTTTCAAGGAAAGTTGGAAATTACAAGGACATCTATTGTTGGCTCAATTGCGTCGGGTCTTGGGGGGTCCCGACGCGCTGGGGCACGGAGGGGTCAGCGGCCACAACGGCTGCCCTCTTGGCTGTGGGAGTGGCTCCTGGTGTACATTCCACACACGTCCCCGCTCGCCCCAGCCTCCTGTCGTGTGGTGTGGTGTTTGTTCACACACAGCATCTTAGCTCATTGTGTCCTGCTGTTTAGAGTATCTATGCTTTTCCTTTTGCTTAAAAAAGAAATCATTTGTTACCAAGTATTCCAATTCATTTGTTTGACTTTCATGCTGTTAGCTGTCGCAGGAAATGTATATATTGGCTTGGCAGAGAGATGAGTGTGAATTATCTACCCTTTTCACTGCCTTTCATTCTGGCCCATATCTCAGACCTTTCTATCATGTTGGACACATACTCATGGCAGATGAATGAGAGTGGTCGATGTCAAACAAAGTACAGTGATACCTCGGTTCTCGAACGCCTCGGTTTTCGACCAAATGGAGATTCGAGAAACTTTTGTCTCGGAATCCGAACAAATATTTGGAACTTGAACTTCCGAGATGAGCCGAGTTGAGCCGAATGGCGTTCATTCGGCCCAGCGCGCCTTGCTCGCGTCATCAGTGTGAGTGCAGAGAGAGTCACGCTTTGTGGAGTCACGCTTTCCTATTGGGTTTCATTGCTTCAGTTCTCGAACAATTCGGTTCTCGACCTCCTCCTGGAACGAATTATGTTCGAGAACCGAGGTATCACTGTATAATGCTGGGAAGACGGGATGCCAGCACTCCAGAGACTCGGATGAGGCAATCCGGTGCTGCGGAGCTTCTCAACTCCGTGCCACTTTTGCTGGAAAGACCGCAGGGGCTCTCCACAAGGGGAGGGCCTCCTCCCCTCCCGCCCCCACCCCCCACGGAACAGAGTGCGACTGCTCATCAAGAGACCCACCATCCATCTCCCCTGGCCAGCTGAGGCGGTGGAGAGCTGTCAAACTGGAGTTTCTTTGATGTGTTTATTCTTCCCCCACCATTTAAACATCACGTCTTTTTGTTACTGTCTACCTAGGGTGTCTACAATCTTCCTGGTTCTTGACTTCTCTGTTCAATAAAACTTGTTACTAAAACCCCAACAGCTGCTTTCTTAGTTCAGGTTACTACAGCAGTTTTCAACCAGTGGAGTGCAAGAATTTTAAAAACATGCAATACCTGACTATCTAGTCAGGGGTACAGACCTCTTTTCCCTTAGATCCCCCCCCCAAAAAAGACAATAGCCAACACAATAGCCATCTAATGTGAAAGAATCACAATTATCACAGATGGGCTCACCTTCCCATCTTCTAGTCTGTTCCTGATAGCTCTCCCTGGCTTAATCCCTTCTCTAGGGTTTGCCTGCACCCCATCTGGAGTCTGGTGTAGAACCCTCCATGGTACTCTGTTCTTGTTCCTTTAGAGGGTAATTCCTTGAGGTGCAAAGCGAATCATGTTATTTTCAGCCCAGTGTCCGGCCAACAATAGGCTCACTGCATGTCTGCAGGAAGCAGTTCAGTGTGGCTGCCCATTTCAGAGGACTCCTCTGGCTGCACCAGTATGTGCAGTGAGCAGCACGGGAAGCGTCGCATGAAGTTCTATTTCTTGTTCTGCCATTAACAAAGCATGAGACTTAGGAGGACGGGAAAGGTAATTAAATTCTAAAAGGCCCCCCAACTAGGACATAAAATATTAGTTTGAATTATTTTAAGTTTCTCGTTTTGTCTTTGCTTTTATAACATACTATTATTCATAGATATAATTTCTTGATCAAGGTCTAATTTCTATTAAAAGAAATACACATAAATGATGCCCTGGCCAGTGGCTCAGTTAGTTGGAGCACCGTCCTGTACACCAAAAGGCTGCAGGTCTGATTCCTGGTCAGGGATCATACCCTAAGGTTTGGTCCCTAATCCCCGGTTGGGGCGCATATGAAAGAAAGGCAACCAATCGATGTTTCTCTCTCTCTCTCTCTTCCTCTCTTTAAAATCAATAAACATCCATGGGTGATTTAAAAAACACATGCAAATGACAATTTATATACTTCCATATTAAAGAGTGGTTATAATGCAGAAAATGGGCATTGTAGAGCTTATGCAGCTTGGTCATGGAATATAGGAACGTACTCTGGTGTCCAAAAGGTACAAATTCGAATGTCATGTGTGATTTGGGAGAATGCCCGGGGGGGCCGGATGCACCTGGCACATAGTAGGTACTCAGTGTTCGTTCTCTTCCTCTCACTCACTGTTTTGGAGATCAGTGAAAACAATTTTGTCGTTTACTTTTGAAATAAAAGGGAGGCCTTTAGTTTCTTAATTTAGTTTCACTTGGAAGAAACAGCTACCTTTCCAGCAAAAGATAATTCTTTAGTTGTATTAACATTACTTTTAGAAAAATGTAATCTTGTGTTACTGACATGAAGACGTAGTCTCTTTGGCATCTTTTAAAGGAAATAAAATTGTATTTTAAAATATTAAACACATAAGAAACAAGCCAGAAATGTAATGCCCCAATGAATCCTGAAAATTTATTATTTGGGAGAATATCAGATATTGATCCTTTGTTTTACAGCTCATGATAATAATCAGAAAATATACATTTTGAAGTGGAAGTCAAAAGAAAAGAATAATTACATATAATACAGACTACAGATATTTTATTTGTACATAAGCAAAGCAGTACTAAAAGCATATTTATGCGTCCACAATTAGTGAACATGGCAATTTTCTGTTTAAAGCTGCAGCAACTCAAATCCTCCTTGGGTCAATAAAGACAGATTGAGAAACACAGTTAGGGCTATCACCATGTCTGGCTGTAAACCTACTTTTTAATCTTTCCCTTCCCCCCATATATATATATATATATATGTAGATACTTTATTGCCTTTATATTTCTGCTGGTTTAATATAATTAGTATACTAAATAATTATCTGCATTTATTTGGTTTCTAAAAATATATAAAATGCATTGGAATAGAGCTCCTGCAGCCTTCAAGCAGTCCCTGTCCTGGCGTCGAAAGCTATTCTGGAAATGTCAAGCAGCAATACTGAATAAATAGTGATTGTTTTGTCTTCTCCATACAGCCGATGGCCTTCACCCAAAACTTAAAAATACTGTAGCAAATAGTATAAACATGCAATTAAAAAAAATGGATATAGTATAAAAGTAATACTTATGAGCAAATTTTACACAATATAAACTAATAAGGACAATTTAGTAGGTAGAAGAGGGATGTGAATACAGCATATTATTTACATATAAATTAAGGCCCAATTTTCCAAAGGCAATGCACACAGAATTGCCCAGCTGCCCACGCCCTTTGCACACCTGAAAGCAAGAGTTTTTGCTGTTTCCACATTATTTCCTCAATCCATTATTATAGTTCTAATTTAGAAGGACGTTCACAGAAAAGGTCTGAACACAGTTTCTTTTTTTCTGAAGACTGTTTCACTCTTATTCACAAAGAAAATTTTCTTTTAGTGCTGGTAGAAAATTTATTTATGCTCTGGAAGCAAATACTTATTTGCTCTTCTTGAACTCTTAAAATTCACATTTCACACCATAAATCCTGTATTTTCACCGTATCAGTCTTGTTGTAGCTCTAGTTTATGACTACTTTGAACTATGGAAACTAATGGTTAGTTTAGTGATGACTGGGGGAATTAAATGGGTAACTCCTATTAATACCAACTGAAGTCTCAAATATAAATTCCCTGTGCATCAAGACAAAAAACAAATGCTAACAAACTAAAGTATCTCATAAGAACAACAAAAGGACTGTGGCAACTACTACAGATCATTCTATGCGGATGATAGATACTCAAAGGGTCATTCACAGTAACGCTATTTCAAATTATTCCTTGGTTAAAAAGAAAAATTATCTTCTAATGTATTTAATTATACTTGTAGAAAATCGCAATAGAAGAACTTGTCATCTAATTTAGTATTCAGAACGTGAATATTCCCCAGATTCAAAAATTCATATTTGGTATTTTTATATACCACTGCTACCCTCCCCCACCCAATGTATCCAAAGATGTGGCACTTACTCTAACTCATTTGTATTCACAATGGATAAAAGTTATTAGGAACTAAAATATTTTTAAGATGTTCTAGGGAAATGAGTTTTCTTTGTGCTGTTTTTAAAAAAAGACGTAGCAAATATTTCTCATAGGTGTGCATCCAGAAGTACTACAACTGATTGAAAGGTGCAGCTGCTCAATGCACCCACCATGTTTCTATACTCTTCTCATCTAGGAAACAGTATTCTTATCTGTAATTAGATCCGTAAAGATTGTCTGGCAGCCTGAACATGTGGAGGAAGTTGTCAGAGAAGGTTACCTGTGACACAAGGTTGGGGACACGGGGGAAGGATGCTGCCAGTTCTCTCTTTACAGTTATTAGATTAGTGCTGACAATAATTTACAACAATTCATGTGGATGCTGACTTTGTGTTTCTCATGACATGCCAAGGCATCTTTGTAATTTACAATTGCAAAGTTTAATATATCTTTAACATTTTGATTTAAATAGAATGTGATCAATTTATAAAAATATTTTTCTTTGTGAATAAGATCAAAATTTCTATGAATAACAATAAGAAAATGACTCTTAGTATAGGATTGAACCCTTTAAAAATAAGGCATATATCGGGCATACATAAATCATTATTGTCACAAAATCTACAAATTATTTTAATTTTTTAATTCTCAGAATTTTTAATCATATGTAGATATGAAAAAACTATTATAAATTGAGAGAAAATGTAATTGGGTTGTGTTATTTAGGTAAGAATCATTTATTTCTCAAGTTATTTGCAAAATAGTATAATGGCAAGGTCAACTCAATAATTCCAAGAACCCAAAGAAAACAATACCTTTAGTTGAGCTCTGCCATTTAGCTGAACTAGAAAAGGCAACTCTGCATTATTACTTTCAGTTTTCTAGAAGCTTCTATATATTTTCATAGCCATTCTTATAATTTTCCATTGGAAACCTAAATATAGCAGCATTCTCAGCATTCATTAAACCAAAGATAAGTCAAACGTGTTAGAACATCCAAAGCTGCCCTCATGCATAAGCTATAACTTACATCTTTTTATTGTTACCATGGCATTAATATACTAATCCAGTTACTCTGTTGCATGTAAATAATATAGAGAATGTATTTTCCTCAGAATTAAAAACTATAAACTTCAGAAAAAGATCTTAATTATATTGTACCAAATTTTGACCAGAGGGAATGTAAAAATGGCTAAGAGGTACCTGACCACATCCATTTAGATATTACTTGTGAGTCTTAGTTAAATCACTACTCATGGAAGGGGGGCTGACTCATTTTTGGTTTTATAAATAAGAAAATACATGTACAAATGGAGATTAATGTCCTATAAAAGTCAAGCTCAAAAATGAAAACAAACACTGAAATTAACTTCATTTCCTTGATAAAAAGTACCTACCTCCAATCCACTTTCTCGCTATCTAAGTGACTGGAGGAATCGCAACAGGCCATAAAGCACACAGTAAATGACAGGCAAGTCACATGGGTGCTTACATCAGAAGACCACACAAATGAAGTGGGCTATTTTAAAAATACATGACTCAAAGCAACATTCCTAAAGTGGACTGACCTGGTCCTCAGATATCTCTAACTTATGTATTATGGCAACTCTGAGGATCCATGAGAGTAAAATGATGAGGCAGGGAAGAAACATAACAATGTATCAGGAACCCCCTTGCCTAATTGGATAGATAGTCAGCATTCACATCTTTGTCCAACAGTGTCAGAAGCACTGCAAACCGTTTAAAAATAACAATTTATCTCATGAAAATATTTCTGTTCTGGTATGTGGTCATTCATATACTGAAAACATTGTAAAAAAAAAATTGAACTCCAGATTAAAAAGAAAAGCTGAATTATTTCACCCAATTAAGCAACGCTAGGACAAGTTCACACAGTAGGTGCAAGTGGGTTCTTCCGGAGTCTGGTTTGCTGGCAGAGCGCCCTCTGACACTGTGTGGCTGTCATCAGCAATGCACGGCTGGGGTCTGGCCACATACACACAGTCATAAATCACACAGTATGTAATGTAATTCGGTCACAAGATAAGTATTAATAAAAAATATTAAAACATCAACATTCACACATTAATTGATTACATGGAATAAATTAAACTAAGCCAGTCACATATTTCTCTTCATTCTTACGTCACTTTTTTTTTATGTATACACACAGTATAATACTTTCCTAATGCTCTCAAAATGCTACAAATAAAAATGAAGGCTTTGCATTACAGCTGCTGGATAAAAATATCAACACTGTCGATGTGTGGAAACACAGTTTCTTTGTTCTTTAGCATCAGTGCACAGGGTATGGCTCCAAGTGGTATGCGATTCAGGACAGAAAAAAGATATGGTGGCTTGTGAAATCTCTCTCTGTTCATCATTGGCACAAATCAAAGAAAGAATTTTTACTGTCCGTGGTACCTTTATTGGGTCTCTCCCTAAAGACAGATAATGTTATACATATATGCCTTCAGGATTAAAACCAGATGAGATAGGATTCTGCAGAATCCGCAGATTACTGGGGAGTTGCCGAGATGAGCCAGGCCGCTTCAGGGACCCAGACTGGAATGCTGCCTCTGAACAGGAAACAAAGAAAGTCATCTGATGTACTCATCAACTTGCGTACTTAGCAACACGAAAATCAGAACTTTTCCTGCCCTAAAGAATCAAAGGACATACAGTGGCAAGTCCAGTCCCCTGAGTCTTGAGGTGGCAGAAGCTAACTCTGCTTGATCCTCTCAGCTGATAAACCGAGTTTTCAGTGACTTAAACAGCTAATGCTCTTTTAAAGAAAGTGAGCAGTTTGCCTCTCTTTCTTGGTTGTTCAGACCATAGTCATACACAGATTTAGAAGTATCTTTAAACATCAGCTCAAATTAATTAATTTAAGGAGAGGAAGAAGGGGCATTAGAAATAGAGAGAAGCTAAAACTCAGACTATGGCTGATACCTACTTCAGGAAAATGATATAAGATTTGGTGATTTCATACTTATTTAAGCAAATAAATAGCCTAAATATTATTGATTGTCCTCAGAAACAGTAAGTACACATCAAAAAAAGTTTTTTAAACGGCCGAAGAGAATTAGCTTTGAATGGGTTGGGTAACACTTTTACCAAATGCCAGAAGTTTACGCAAAGTTAACAGGTAAGAATAAAGTTTTAAAAAAACCCAAAAAACAGATTTCACAACAACTTACCCCTTTCTAGGTCTGCATGAGAGGCCTCTACTTCGATGGGCTCTGCCGGCAGAACGGTGACTTTTGTCCCTGTCTGCTGGATAAACTGCTGGAGATTGACTTGCCGCAGCTCCTTCGTCAACTGCTCCAGTTCTTGTTCTTTGTCCTAGATAGAAGTCAGGTATTTTTTTTTTAATTTGAGGACTCAGTACTGGCCAGCGAAAAGACATCCTGGTGACAGTTCGTCTGCTGCGGGGATGGCATGTGGAATACTGGCTCTCACAGGAGCACATTTAACAAGTCTGGCTTATGCAATACAATGGGCTAAAGAAGTCACTTTCTGTGTGGCATGGGCCAAAAAATAAGCATAAAGGACAGTCTGGCCTCTTAAATGTGATGCTTTCCTCTGTTAGAAAGTTACTAAGCACCCGATGAAATAAAAATATGTCTATATATTTTCATCAATGAAATCCTGGTTTCCATCCATTCCAGTGTTTACAGCATTCTTGCTAAGCTGTTAACAATTAAATTTCCCTATTAGCCTCTTCATAACTGACTGCAAAATGAATAGTCATCGGGTCCCTGAGATTCAGAGTTCTTGTTTTTCATAAACTGTTTTAAGTTCTCATGAGATCCGTGACTGAGATTTATAGCATAGCAAGAAGAAAGCAGGATTTCCACAGGACTCTCACTGTGGTTTTTAAATCTTTGAAGAAGACAGTTTTGAGAACTGAAGAGCCCTAAAGAAAGAAGACCAGGTTTGGGCAGCTGGAAAGGTCTAAAAGCAAGGAGAGGCCTTCTGTGATTCACACAGATTTCCCGTCTCTCCTTGCCTGCCTGTGCTGTAAGGGAAGGTGTCTGGGGGTCTGCTGGGGGCAGGGAAGACACTGGAAGAAAGGGCGGTTGTTTACTTATTTAAGGGTAGGAGATACTTAGAGATATGTTACTAGTTTGATTATTAGGTATTTTCACTAGGTAGTGGGATTTATTAGCAATGATTGTCATAAATTATTGTTCATGTTTCCTGTAACATCAAAGGCAACACGATTTACAATCTGACTCCTAAGTGTCAAAATAAATCCAAATAGTAAAATAGTGACAAATCAGAGGTTAACAGCCTTCTACTGAGTGAGAAATTCCTGATTTTCAAAATGGGGGGGTAGTTCTGTCTCCCACTACATATAGTTAATGACAGAGAAATCACACGGGTTCTTCCTGTAACATTCCTCTGCTTGTGGAGCGCGATGTTCAGGCTCTAAGGCAACTCTTCCCAAGCTCGGTGTGCACAGGCACCATTTGGAGATCTGGTCACGACGCAGACCGTGCATTTCTGACAAGTGTGCCGAAGCCTCAGGCACTGCACCAGCCTGTCCAATTCAGTAGGCACGACACACGCACTGTTGAGCACCTGAAATGTGGCCGACTGTGACTAAAAACAACTTTAAATTTACTTAATTTTTGTAAACAGCTTTACTATTATCTAATTTTATTTTATTTTTTAATCCTCACCTGAGGACATTTTTCTGTTTATCATCAGATAGAGTGGAAGGGAGGGAGAGAGAAACATCCATGTGAGAGAGAGACAGCGAATGGCTGCCTCCCGCACGACCCCAATCAGGACTGGGGATGAACCCAAAGCGAGGTATGTGCCTTGACCAGAAACGAATCCAAGACTCATTGGTCCATGGGCTGACGCTCTAACTGCTGAGCCAAATCGGCTAGGGCAATATTATCTAATTTTAATTCATTTATATTTAAGTTGCCATGTTAAAATCAACTGTGTGTTTCTCTCACGTCAACTGTTAGAGACTGATACCACTTTGTAGCTCATACCATCACCACCCTGTCTTTTCAAGAATGGGTAGCCAAAAAATATAAGTTGAGTGATCAGGGTATATGTGACAAAATATAAATGTTCTTAGACTCCAACTTTAGAGAGGGGAAGAATCAGAGGGGAGCCTTTGTGCCCCTCCCCTCGGAGAGCAAAGGAGGGAAACCTGGAGGGGGCGAAAGGAAGGGGCTATCTGCCCCAGGAAAGAAGATGGGGTTAGCAACAGCGGAGAAGCTACAGGGAAGCGGCCAGCTAGCCACACAATCCTCGGCAATCTCTTTAGGCTTTGGGTTTCTCTCTCTCTAACAGAAGGAGGTCAGATTCACTATCTCATCATTAGTGTCCATTCCAGCTGAGATTCTTTTCTTCTCCATCTGATTACCTAATGCTGCAACCTGCCACAGTATGACAGCCCCTTCCCTGAAGCAAGGATCGGTGTGGCTTTAGCTCTCATCTTTGTTGTGGTCTCACATCTAAGCTTTACGGTAAGTCACAAGAATTCTAAGAGTCATAAACTAAGGTAGGTGGTCTAACTTTAAATGTGAGAGAAAATGGACAGTCATTAGAGATGTCAAAAATATGTTAGTTCTTTTAAGTAGATGAAACATTCTCTCTGTAAAAATGTTCTCACCTGTAATCGTTTGGTGGCTTGTCCAAGAGATCTCTCCACAGCTTTAATACCGTTTTCCAGCCTCAGACTCTGCTGGCCTTGCATGTCAATTTCCCCTTTGACCTTACCGATCTTTCCTTTCACCTCCTCTTCATTGACCTGTGCCTCCTGCACTTCCCGCTGCAACTTTTCTGCCTCTAGACCGCTTTCCATAGTCTGGATCTGAGCCAAATAGTCCTTTAATTTGCTCTCACATTCTGTTATTTTCTGTCTTATTTCTTGAAGTTGATCCTTCAGCTGTTTTTCATTTTCCTGTTCAATCTGTAATTCATTTTCCCAAAATTCTTCCTCTTCAATTTCTACATCATTTCTTTTGATCTTTTGCTCCAGGCGGACAATTTCCTCTTCGAGGTTAGAATTATATTTTTGCTCCCAAAATTGTATTTCTATTTCATTTGATTTCAGCTCTTTCTCAATAGACTGAAGCTTCTCTGTCTGCAAACGAATCAGCTTCTTTAACTCATCTGCTGTTGTTCTGCAGTTATTCAGCACTTTCTGCTTAAATTCAGTTTCTTTACCTTTTCCAAAAATGTCCATTAATCCTTTGGCACCTCCTGTAAATGTTAATGATTTCCTCTTAGGTTCTCTCCGTTTGATTGATTTGTCAACCTGAGGCCTCAGTTTGGCTAAGGGGGGCAAACTCTGCCTATATAAAGTCCTCTCAGGAATCCGAGCCACGCTGTCTGAGGTGGGCCGCTCACTGAGAGAGGGCCCCGTCCGACGTAAAATAAGCTGCACATCACTGGCATATTGCCCCCATTTGTTTAAGGATATGATGGGATTCTCGTGAGGTGCCAAGTGTCTTTCCGTATCTCTCCATTTTTCTATCAGAGTATACCTTCCAGTTCGACCTAGATAAAAAAAGATAAGAACAAACTGTCAAAATGGCACATGCAATAGCTAAAAGAATGAATTAATTCATGCTATCGATAACTGTGTCTTCTTGATCAGCCTCAAGGTCCAGTACACGCTGCCTCTGAAACTTTCACTTGCAGATACTGAGCTCCTTAAGATATGCAACAGCATAAACTTACAGGACGTCGCAATTGCATATACTCTTCAGACCTGCTCAGAAATATTTTAAACCTCGGTGGGAATCCTACTCGTGTCAAACACCTGGCTGCCTGGACCTTCCTGTGTGGGGCCAGACGTCCGGATGAGACGAAGGAGAGCACTGGGTGCCGCCGGAAGCAGTGAGGCCCGGTCTCGGGAACCAGGCAGGACTTCAGAACCTGAATAAACTTCCACTTTGCAAATTCTCTGCTTTCTTTGCACATCAGGACTTGGAAAGGTTGGAGGCCCATTCCTCCTCCTGAAAGGAGACATGAAGCCAGTGGGGAACCGGCTGCTGAGCTAACAGGGAGCTGGACAGGTCTTTCCTGTCCCCCAACCCCCAGAGGGCTTGGCAACCCATAGTTCACATGGCTGGAATCTTTCTGCATACCTATGGCAAATAAAATAAATCACCTCACTAAAAGCAACCCTTCAGCCCTGGCCGTTCTGGCACAGTTGATTGGATGTCGTCCCTGCACCAAGAGATTGCTGGTTCGATTCCTGGTCAGGGCACATGCCTAAGCTGGGGGCCTTGATCCCCTGGGGGGGGGGGAGGGATGCAGGAGGCAGACGATCAATGTTGCATCTCACATTGATGCTTCTCTCTCTCTCTCTAAAAATAAATAAATAAGCTATTCTTTAAAAAAAAACTTCAAAAATAATTTCATATAAAAAGAGGCGCCTGAAGAGATGTCTTACTCAGTTTTGATGGTCATAGCTTCAAAGATTCTTCTAAAATATTTGAATGGCAAAAATGGCATGAATAACAACAACAAAATAAAATCACTTTTAAATTTAAAAAAAACAACAACATACTGAACCTAAATAATAATTATGGAAGATAAAGTTTCAGAACACAATATAATGCCATTAGCTTGAACATACTTCCTAAATATTTCCACTTAAGGTGAGTGGTTCAGATGGATAATTTATATATATGATTTTTTAAAAATATGTTTCTATTGATTTTTTAGAGAGAGAGAGGAGGGAGGGAGAGATAGAAACATCAATGGGCTGCCTTCTGCATGCCCCCTACTGGGGATCGAGCCTGAAACCAGGGCATGTGTCCTGACCCAGAAATCAAACCAGGACCTCTCCATCCATGGGATGACACTCAATCCACTGAGCCACACTGGCCAGGCCAGATGGATTATATTTATTTTGTTAAAAATGTCCATTAGATGACATCTAAAACTAATATAATGTTATATGTTAATTATATCTCAATGAAAAGAAGTATCCATTAGTAGTTAATATTATTACAAAGAAAAAAACTGACCCTGACATCTAGCAATTATAATACTTGCATATATAGCTATTGATTTATCTTCCCTGCCTTCTTTTTTTAATTTCATGAGTATCTGAACCAACAGCAATATTTTCTCAATTACTGTGTAATTAAATGGAGATCTAGATATGTAAATCCGAACATCCATGTATGCAATTCAGACGTAGCACATGAAGAATGATATTGCTTTAAGCATATGCAATGTTCTCCTTTAAGGAAACCTGAATCGTGGGTACAGCTGAAAAGCTGGAGCTTTGGAGGCAAACAGACCGGAGACTTAATCCTGGGTAAATTACTTACTGGAAGTAGCATAATTTTACTTCTATATGAGAAGAGCAATATCGCATAGGTTATAAATCAGAGTCAAGTGTAGTAATAAGCACATACCACAATACTTGGCCCACAGAAGGTATTCAGTACATGGTAGCCACTATCAAAGACATTCTTATTCATATAACAAAAGGGCTGACCAGAGACCTCCTATAAATAGGGATGTGACATGACAACAATCGGACTTGACAAAATCCTTAAACAACTTTCAGCAACTACTCCCAACTCTGCAAAGCTGCAGAGTAGAAAGCACAAAAGCTCTGGAGTCGGAAGGCCTGTGTTGCAGCCTGACTCTGCCATCTATTAATTACATGATTCATACACATTATTACATGTTCTTTACCTTCAGTCTCCTCATCAATAGAGAGTATTTTCTTACCTGACAATGTTGTGAGTCAAATAAGATATAAAATATAAAAAATGTTTTGTAAAATTGAAAAGTGCCACACAAATATTAGTTATTACCAAAATACCTCGGCAAACAAAGGAATGGAAAAGAAAGCTTTAGCATACTGAATCGGCTTCCTGAAATCTAATTGTTTTTTAATGATTTTCAGGTTAAAAATTACTGGAATCACCCCAACAAAAGCCGCATGACAAGTCTGCAAGCCGCATGACAAGCCGCATGACAAGACTGCTTCAGAGATCACGGCACCTCACGACCCTGCTCCTGGACCTCTGTGCTCATCAGGAACACGAGGGGGAGACTAGATGGGCAGAGCACTCTAATCCTATCAGGCCAATGAAGTGTCTTTAAAAAGAAAAGTGAATCATTATATTATACAAGCTAAGTTAAAAATTTAAAGACTCTAATTTAGTCATAATTAAATATAAAGCTGATTTTTCCAAGGCTTAAGGTACTGCTGCCCTTTGAGAATGTCTTGGTAGATTATTTAGAATTGCTTTTATTGCCAGTTTTCCATTTTTGTTAAATAATGCTCATTGAGTGCAATTAGGCAACAACAACAAAAAAAGAAAAAATTCCATCTAGCAATATAAAAAAGCTTTTTTTTTAATAATTTTTTTTTTTTTAATCCTCACCCGAAGACATTTGTGCATTTATCTTCAGATAGAGCAGGAGGGAGGGAGGAAGGAAGAGAGAGCGAGAAACATCGATGTGAGAGAGACACATCGACTGGCTGCCACCCACACGACCCCAGCCAGGGTGGGGACAAACTGCAACCGAGGTATGTGCCCTTAGCGGGAATTGAACCCGGGACTCTCTGGTCTGCAGGCCGACGCTCTAACCGCTGAGCCAAACCGGCCAGGGCTGATGCTTTTTTTATACAGAACATAGTCAATCTTAATTGGTTCTGTGAGTTAAGCAGTATAGGAGTTATAATCCTCAACTTACCAGTAAAGAAATAAAAACCTAAAGAATTTAAAACAATGTCCTGATGATATACAGCTATTCTGTAAATTTATCAATGAATTTTCCACAAGCCCTGGGTGTAGCTATTGAGATAACTCTTACCACATTTTATTTATCTTATGATGACAATGACATAAAAATATCTCTGAGTATAACCTGTCAGCCAGCTGCGTATTCAACTCATAGTTAAATTATTCGCAGTATATCTTCTCAGTGTACTGATGAGAGTATCATGTAGTCACAGAATTACTACATTAATTAAGGACATTCCTACAGTTATATTATGCCTACTATTTGCTGCATTGTGCTGGTTATCTTACATAAATAGCATTAACCAAAATAACAGCTAATACTTATCACTATAAACCACTATGATGAGGGGGATTGTTTGTTAATGCAGCGTAATCTAACCCATCCTAACTGATGCAGGCTATGAATTACATGTTTTCACATTCACTAAAATTATGAATGATTATTTATTATTATAACTATTAAAACTGTAAAAGATGACCTGGGCTATTAAAAAAGTAGTATATTTTACTACTAAGGATGTTTATTTCTTGTTTCAATGTAATTCCATTAATATTTTCTAACAGTTGTCCACTGAGATTATAGGCGGTATAACTAACACAGTATCATCGCCGTTAGAAGCAGTGTTTGTAAACCAGACTATTGGTTTGAATCCCAGCACCCTCCTTACTAGCTGTATGAGCTTGGGCAGGTGATCTCAAATCTCTGTGCCTCAGCTTGATCATCTGTAAAGTAGGGATAATAATAATGCCTTCATCCTAGGATTCTTGTGAGGATTAAATAATGTGGAAATATTAATTCACAACCTAGTAAATAAAAAATGAAACTATAAAACTATAAATGATTATGAAGAGTGAAATCTTATTTGTTAAGCTGATCGATAGGCCAATAAAAAGCATGGCATATAGTGTTGACTTCTAGGAGGCAGGGTCATGAGTAATTTTTTTTACCTTCTTTGTGTTTTTCTAAATTTCAAAAGAGTCTACAATTGATAGCATTATTTTGTAAACAGACAGAAAACTGATCAATTTTCAAATTTCTAAAATTGATAATTTACATACAAAATTAGGAGTTAAATGTGGTCATACAAAATACATTCTTTTCATTTTCTTCTAAAGGATCATATAATTTTAGCGATGGATGGGACATTAGGTGGCCACCAAGTTCAGCCTGTAGTTTACAGGAAAAACAACTTTAAAATTAATTCATTTATTCACAAATAGGATTGAGCGTCTACCACATGCCAGACAAGGTTTTAGGCTATGAGAATAAGTAATAACAAAACAGTGGTAGGCACTCGACAATACACACATACATTAATATAGGCCTACTGTCCATTATCCAACAGCTTTAAGGCCAGATATGCTGAAAATTCAGATTATTTTGGATTTAGGCTATCCTGCAGTTCTATAATCAAACATTAAAATTTCTAAAGTAAAATGCATCAAAGTTCATACTGAATGAAATAAATATACATTAAAACAGCCTCACATCAAATCAGATCAGTTTTTACCACTAAATGAGTCAAGCCATGAGAAGTACGGCTAACAAAGTATGATAAATACTTTAGGCTTTCAGAATTTTTAAAATTTCAAAATATGGATAGTAGATTGTGGCCTATGTGTAATATGTCAGGCAGACAAGTGCTATAGAGAAAAATAAGGGCACGGCAGATGGGGAGTGTGTGCGTGTGTGCATGGCCATGCGGTCAGGGAGGGCTGTGGTATTTAAGCAGAGATCCAAGGGAGTGGAGTGTGAAGACAACTGGGTGCAGAGTATTCTCAGCAGAAAGAAGAACAGATACAAAGTCTGAGTGGAGACGTACGTGGTATGTTTAGGAGGGGATGATCAAAAGTACTGGTAGGAAATTAGGTCAGAACAGTGAGGGGTAAAGTAGGGACACATTTGGGCCCTGAGACCATTGTATGGATTCTGGAATTTGCTGAGTCAGGAATCCTGAGGGGTTTCGGGGAGTGGAATGATATGATGTCATATATTTTAAAAGTGTTACTTCAAACCTGTTGCAATTAGGCTGGAGGGGACCAGTATGCTGCGGGGAGAGGAGCTGGAGTAAGAAATGGAGGTGGCTCACGTCAGGTGGGGAGAAGCAGCAGGTGCTGGGCGCATACTGGAGGCAGTGAGGGTAGGTCTGCTGATGGAGTGGTGGTAAGGGATTAGAGCAAGAAAGAAAATCAAAGATCACACAGAGTATTTGAACTAATCAATTCAAAGATGAGATGAGGAGGAAATCTGAGGGTCGGCAGTGGTTGGGACACAGAGCTTAGGTCTTGACATTTTTAGTCTGAGATACCAATTGGTCATTAGTCACATTTAATTTTAATTAAAAATTTATTTCCTCGGTTATACTAGCTATGTTTCCAGTACTCAACAGCTGCGTGCGGCCAGTAGCTACTGTACCGGACAGCACAGCGAACGTTTCTATCCTTGCAGAAAGTTCTACTGGGCAGCACCGCCCTAGAAACTGTTTTGTTGAGCACCCATGTTAGGCAAGGCAAGGGTGTAAGAAAGGTAAACAAGGAGGACCCCCCACTCTAGAGGGAGTTCCAGAGAAGAGAAAGAAGTGTTGAATACCAAAACTAGGATAAAGAGTATGTGGAAAGTGATTTTGCTGGAGCAAACCATGTGAAACACGGCTCCTTAGGAAGAAGAGTGCACTCCACCCTGGGCTTGGCCTCAGCTTGTTCCTACTAAATGCTGACTCTGGCCTCAGTTGAAGGAGACATAGGAACAAGATCATAAGACATGAACCAGACAAATTCTGAATCATTAGCACTTTAAATGACACTAGGCACCTAAGTGGCGTGAAGCAGAAAGCCTTTCCCTCAGTCTCCTTGATTTCTTCCTCCTCCTCTTTTCCTCACTAACGTTTTGTTTGCTGTACTTTAGAAAAAGGAGAAGGGAGAGAAAGAGAGACATAAACATTGATGTGAGAGAGAAACACTTTGCCTCAGTATGTGCCGCAGCCGGGGACTGAACCCGAAATCTGGGTATGTGCCCTGACTGGGAAGTGAACCTACCACCTTTCGGTGTACAGGACGACACCCTGACCAACCGAGCCACTCCAGCCAGGGCTTGTTAGCTGTACTGTGAGTTCTAAGCTACCTGGGGGCAGAAATACCTTCTTTTTATACTGCTGGTTTAGCCTATTGTAAAAACAAATGCATTTTTTTGACAATAACTTGGGACAGATGGTCTGCCAAAGGCTTTCTGTTTACATACAAATCTCAGAAGTCATTGAACTCTGAAATAAGACATTTCTGGGATAGTTTATGGAAAAAACAAGGCACAATATTTGAAAGTAGGAACATTTCAGAAAGCCTGAGATGTATAGGAACCAAACACACACAGTGTACTCGTTGGGTGGTTTAACCAATTCGTGCCAATTAAGTGTTTCAATCATGATTTCACTTTTAGTTATTCTGTCTCTTATAATTTCAGAATGTGCTCTATTTCTACCACCTAAATATAACCTGTCAAGAGAGTCAAAGATCAGAGTAGTAAGTATTCTTTCTATACTCCTAGACATGTTCAACATCTTTTATCAAATTATGTTCTGATTTGATGGGATGGCTCAGCAGTGCCGCGTCAGAACACGTTAGCTGCCATATTTGCAGACTGACGACTTGCGCACATATTTTTATATCTTGATGGTTTCCTGAAGTAATTTTAGCTACCCAGAAAAACTCAATAACCCTAATCCATTATATATATATATCCATTATACACACACACACACACACACACACACACACACAGTGCTGCCATGAAGCACATAGGCTGGCCTTAAGCCGAAAAGCCGCTTCATTATCAATTTTTAGAAACTGCAGCCAGCCCACACTCTGCTGATGGTATAAACTTTCACTGTCTTTAAGTGGCAGAAATTCTGGTGGTGTTACAACAGCAATTTCCCCTAATTAATAAGCCTTCTATTATTTCTTATAGTAGAAATTAGGTCAATTACTACAACATTTTCATTTGGTGTTTAGACTGAACACCAATAACTCTCGTTGCAAGACAGACCTGAGGGAGTCGGCAGCACGTGGCCCTTGGCTGACTGCCAGCAGAGTCATCTCTTAGATGAGCTCTGAATTCAATGAAGTATTTGTGACACAGAAAAGGAGTTGCTGAGCCAAGCTTGGAGAAATATCATATAACATTCATATTCGAGTTGTCAACTTTTCAAAACAGGTCTGGACTGAGTTACCAAAGAAGCAAAAATGAGGAATAGATTCAGTTAAAACTTCTTTTTAGCTTGTTCACAAACAAGTACACTCTTTAGTCCAAGTGGATAATCTCACGCCTGGTACATCTGGGCATTTTCCCTTTGAAATTCTGCGTAGAACATGTGGTGACCACATGGGCAGATGTAGCTTGCTACCCTCCTCAAGTACCCTGGCTTTTGTTTTTTTGTTTTTACTACTGCCCATGGCTTGATTCTCAAATACAACAAAGTTTAGGTTTGATACTTACTAATCCTAGATTTCACTGAGCAGGGAAAATAACAAAACAAAAATAACTCTGAATATTTAATTCAAATAAATTATGTGAAACCTTTAAAAGCAAGTTGGTTGCAAAGAATACATAATAAAATCAAATGCCTTATTTCTCTCCTCTGTAATAAATGAACTCAATTCAATAACAGTATTAGTCCCAGCTGCAGAACATGCTGTTGGCTGTGAAAGCCTAGGATCTGCAGCATCGTCTGATACATGGGTGTGCTGTACACTCACTATGTGATTATATAAGGCAGACCAGGAGAGAGCCCCGCTTTGTACAGGGCACTGCCGATGTCGAACAGTGCATCTGCCACACTGTCTCTCCAAAACGTCAGGCTGACTTGTAATCCTGAGCTAATCTGGCAAGCTTTCAATGTGAACTATCATGACACGAAACAAACTTTTGATAAGAAGCTCAAAGCCAAAGAGTACCTAGCATGGTTCTGAACACAGTTTCCTCCTAACACATGTTTGCTAAATTAGGGATTTAAGATGCCAATAAAAACTTGAACCCACATTATTGGCTTTACTGATGTAGGTGCTTATGCCTTTATCATATTCCCAAAGGATTTAAGGCAACTAAAAAACACACATAAAATGTGATAAAGATAAACTGGGAGTAAATAAGAAGCAAAGCTGCAACAGGGTAATTGAATAAGATGGAGTCACTAAGCATATACTTGACAACTTCATCTTCACTATGTAATGAGATTTAAAAAGTACACATTCGCCTGGCTGCTGTGGCTCAGTGGACTGAGTGTGGTCCCATGGACTGAGAAGTCATGGTTCGAGCCCGGGTTGCAGGCTCATCCCCGGTAGGGGTTGTGCAGGAGGCAGCTGATTAATGTTTCTCTCTCTCACATTGATGTTTCTCTCTCTCTAAAAAATCAATAAAAAATATATTTTTAAAAAGTATGCATTATCTTTCTAGTGAAGTACCACGTTATTTAACTTGTTGCATTTTCTTTTCTAAAAGTATACCGAACAAACAGTAAAGAGGATTTTTCCTAATGAGGGGTCTGGGAACTAGGACTCTAGGTTTTGACGTTTGCAGTTCCAGAAATCATTGTTTAGGATAAACAGCAGAAGAGAAGACATTACAGACTCTAAACTCAAGAATAGTAAAATGTGGGGGGAACCAGAGAACCAGGGTCTTTACAGATTTACCTAGGCGCAGGGAATGGTGATAATATTGTTCTTGTGAGATGTATCATGAAACCAAATGAAAAAAAAACCACTAGAGATCTATATTTAAAACAAACAAATATACAAACAACGGGACCCTTTATCACTTACCTATTGCTTGAGCTAAGGCTATTACAACCTCCTGGCAAGTTGTGACTTCAGTGACCCCACAAACGATCCTCTGAACTCCATCCACCCATACTTTAAGTTCCATGGTGCACCAGCCAGTCACGCAAGAGCCCTGAGCCTGGTCATCAAAGGTGTCAGGTCATGTCTCTGGCTATAGAAACACGGAGAAGGCAGTCTGTGCAGTCAGCTAAAAAGAGGAAAAAACATTTTTAATAGAATCTTAGTATTTCTTCTAGTATGTAAATATTACACAAAACACATTTTAATATGTGATAATCCTACTACCATTAATGACCAGGTGCTTACTTATTTTACAGAACTGAATTCAACAGCATGAATGTACCTACAGCCACCTGTCACGACATTGTTCATATTACTACTGTTTTCACAATGTAATTTTAACCATAAAGTCACTCGCTATTGGGTAAATAAATCTTATTTATTAGATTAAGTCCTACTGTTGCCTTTAAAAAATATATATTTCATTAGAATCATTTCCAAGGTTAAAGAGAAATAAAACTTTTTTTTCTTTTGTCATTTTAGGAATCATAAGTAACAACCAGTTTCTACAGCCGTGGCAGTATTTGCAGAGGCCTCTGCATAACTCACTGCATTCCTGTTTCCTGCATCCCTCGCCTCGCGCTCTTCCCTGAGGACCAAGAGTGCTGTCTTCCCCACGAAGCCCCAACACCACGCTCGGCATAAGGCTCAGGCGTACAGAGAATACTGGCTGAGGAAAATGAGTTTCTTTGATGACTGACAACTTCCCCATATATGTCCTTTTCTCACTTATTTAATTAGGACTTGATAATTTTCTTAAGTTCTAAGTTATTCCAATAATATATACCTTAACTTTTTGTTATACTTGCTGTTTCCCCAGTGTTTGATTTTTTTAACTTAGCTGCATTGCATGTCAAGCAAAAATCTTTACATTCTCCTACAGTCAAACCAAATGCCTTGATTTCTTCCATTCACTAGAGTGTTATTATTAGCTTGCTAAAGATCAATTACACACAATTCTTTTTCCTTTGGGTATTGAAAATCTCCACTCTCCCTGCATTAAATTTTTAAGCAACTATGATTTGTTTGTCCCCTGTCCTGTGATCACTCAATTTATTTCTTGTTTTTAAAAAAATGTTCAAGTTTATGAGGTGTAATAAACACTGATTTAATTAGAAATAACATAACGTTGTTTAAAGGTTTATAACAGAACTGGTATTTCGAGATTAATGACTTATTAAAAAGCTTATTTAAAAACCCCTAAACAGTAACTACAAACAGTAACTTAGTCCTTGTGCATTCTATTAAAGGACCTAAGACAGTTCTAGGCCACCTGGTCACCTGGGTAGATGAGTCAGAATATGTGTGAGTTGAAGGAGAATAAACCTAATAATACTCCTGCTTTCTCAAGGGAAGTTGCAAAAACAGTTCTTGTCATCCTGAAAACAAGGGAAAGGACTGAATTTCCCAGCATGCTGCTGTAGCTCTCTCTGTAGTGCTAAGGTGGGTTCACAAACACCTATGTAACCAGAGAAAGGGCCATTTGCCTATGACAAACTGATTCCCATAACTGTGTTCCTCAGTAATGAAGTCCTGTGAGCTGTTCAAGTTTCTGGGGAGAAAGGGTTCAAGTCAAAGAACTGTAAGAAACCCAGTAAATAAAGTTAATCAAGTTCCTTCACATGCGCCTTTAACAGGCTGGTGTGCACTCTACACTGCAAATGAGGGTTATATGCTGCTGTCCCCAGTCTACTTAGGGAACATTTAAGGAAAGGAAACAGTAGAGTTATGACTTAGAACAAAATCTGTTTTCTTCTCTGCTAGGCCCTCTACTAAAATTAGAATATTTATTATTCTTGTAATAAAATTAAGATTAAAAATGACCAAACTATATATACTGAGATATATATATATAATATATATACAAATTAAATTATTTGATTAAAATAAATAAAAAACTGAACAAAAAAAACTCAGCTGCAATAAAATCTAGTCCCTTATTTGTCATTAAAAAAATTTAAACTTGGGAAACCTAACGAGAAAGACAGCAGATCTCGTTAAAAGTCCCCCTCCTCACAAAGAAACCCGTCATTTCAAAGAAATGTATGAGGCTCGTTTTTAATTTCTATAAAGGCTTTAGTATACTACCATATATTCTCCTATATAAATTATCACTGTTTCACCTTGAGCTTTTAATCATTAAGCGACAGCAAATGAGCATAAAACACATGTGCATCTGTTAGCTATCAGAGTGCAGTAACACGGGAAAACACTGAGCGTGAGCAATGCTGCCCAGTTAACATAAACGTGCAGGGTCTCTAACCACTGGTCAGACTTCCTGCCATGGGTCATCACAGAGCAGACCAGCATCTGCATTTCTGTTTCACCACTAATATCGTTCAACCTTGAATCATTAAGGAGGGTAGGAAATGCCTTCATGGATCAGATCAATGAACAACACAGTCCATTTTTTCCAGTTACGGCTTCTGTCAAGATCGGGGCTGTGCTGACAATCATCCTTAACTTCCCTCAATAACAGGGTGCTATTGATGCGTCATCTGAAGAACCTGTCTCCCCAGCAGAGGCCCCTAGAAATCCCTTCTAAGGGCTGTCACTCTGCTCTTTCCTTCAGACCCTCCAACTCCTGAAGTTCTGCTCCCTGTCCCAAAACTAGACTAGAGGGAGGAATGGAAGACCTACATTGCAGGGGCATGTGATGGACTGGAATTAAAGACTCAGGAAGCAAAAAGGCTTTGGAATCTCAGCTGGAACTTGGAATAATTTTTTCCACGGAAACGGTGATGCAGGTAGAAAGTAAGGTTCTACTGTAAGGGTATTAACATAGGTGAGTATATGTTTTCATAATGAGGTTTCTATATTCAAACCACTAATATTTTAATAATGAAGAACTAGGTTTATTAAGTAACATGCTACTGCTGAATATGTGTTCTTTATCTAAGAACGATTTATTATCTTAAAAGCCTACTGAAATTAAGCATCTGCATTTGTGGAAACATATTCCCCCAAGACCAGTGCTTTAATAAAGCAATTACAGTCAATCCTCATTATTCACAGGTTCTTTATTTGCAAATTCACCTGCTCACTAAGATTTGTGTGTAACCCTGAACCAACACCAGTGGCCTGTTCACAGCCATTCACAGACACGGACACGGCAGTGGAAACGTGAGCTCCCAGCTGAGGCTGCACAAGTCAGCCTTCTTGTTTCTGCTTTCACACTGTCAGCAAGGGTCCTCGTCGCAGTCTATGTGGGGCTGTGGTTTTGCATTTCCGTTGGTTATTTCACTGGTTCACATGGCCCCCACGCACTGTGCTGAGGGGCTGTCTAGTGTCCTAGGTGCAAGAGAGCTGTGATGTGCCTTGAGGAGAAAAACAGGTGTGTTGGGTAAGTTTTGTTCAGGCAGGAGTCTGGTGCTGTTGGCTGTGAGTTCAGTATTAATAAAGCAACAATATACATTAAATAAGGTGTGTTTCAACAGAAAAACATATAAAACAAGATGATGGACTGATCAGTTGACAAAACTGTTGTAACCAAAGACTTTCACGAATAACAAGAATTGACCTCATATTTTTACATAGTAATAAGTTCCTTTCATGGCAAATATCAAGCTACTGTGTAAATTCCATTATTCCCTAGACACTAGACACAAGCATACAGACGCAGCTTACTGCCAATTTTAACATTTCCTTCATTGCTAATTTTGCTCAAGATCTAAGGTTATCGCATACCATGCATAGCATTCTCCGTAAAACCAGTCCACAGATAAACTGGACGACAATAGAATCTTCCCAATCAGAGCAGCTACTTTAATGAAATCAAATGCTGGTGCTAGTAGTTTTTTTGGCATTATAGAGAGATTCAGTACAATGAACACAGTATATTCTGAACAGTAGTTATTCGAACCATTAATAATCAGATACCCAAACTCTCATTTGTATAGAAAACTGGTTAAAAACAAAACAAAACAAAAAACTAAAGGGAGCATAGGTTAGCTCATCCTAAAACTAATTTGATATAGGAATTAAATGAAGTTATGTTGAACAGCTGTTACCAACTAAAACCAGTATCTATTTTCTGATGTTCGGATGATGACCGAGGTGAGGAAGGTATGTCTGTGGGCACCTGCAGCCTGTGGAGATGGGAAAGGAACCGGAGATGTAAGAACCTGGAGAACGTGGAAGGCTGAAGCACCCTGGGGGGGGGGGGGCACACGAGGAAGGGGGGGGGGTAAGAAAACAGAATCTGGTGAATACAGCTTTCTGGAAAACAGCCTCAAACGCCACGTGTGGGTCACTCTGATTCCGTACTTTGGACACCCAGTTCAATAGAAGCTGCTTTTAGCAAACCCGTGATTTTGCTATAATGCAGTGCTGCTCTGGTGTCACAGAAAGTGGGCTGTTATAAAAAGGTACACAGCGTTAGTAGTGTTTGCTAAGGAAGATGATCTTAGCAAAATAAGTGCCTCCCCCAATTAAAAAAAAAAATCCTTACCTGAGGACATGTTTGTTTAAATTGATTTTCGGGAGAGAGGAAGGGAAAGAGGGAGAGAGGGAGAGAGGGAGAGAGAGAAAAAGAAACATTGACTGAACCTGAAACCTGAGTATGTGCCCTGAGGAGGAATCAAACCCAAGACTGGTGCATGGACGATGCTCCAATGAACTGAACCACGCCGGCCAAGGCCCAGAACGAACTCTTGCCAACAGACATCCCGCGAAGTGTGCCACGGAGAAGTAAGGGCCCACAGTCCAGCAGCTGGGAAACGTTTCACAGCACCATTTCTGGGAGATAGTGCACAGCAAGACAAACTTCTGATGCCCCATAGCAGAGAAACCGGCTGACCTGTGTTAACTTACAGTGACGTAGCATGGAGGTGTGGGGTGTGAAAAGGGGGTACAAGTATCCTGCTGAGCTACCGGATATAAATTATCAACTTTTGTTGTTGTTAATCCTCAAAAAGGATATTTTTCCATTGATTTTTTTTTTTTTTATAAAGTTGAAGGGAGGGATCAATTGGGGGGGGGGGGGGGAGACATGTCAGAGAGACACAACCCTGACCAGGGCCAAGGATCAAACCCGTGATCCTTTGGTCCACAGGCCAATGCTCTAACCACTGAGAAAACCAGCCAGGTCCAAGTTACCAACTTTGGAAAAATATGCCTATATATAAA